AGGATGTGAACAGGGATTTATAGCTGATGGTATGGGCCCGCTTTGAGGGTTTGAAACACCAATTGCACTACTTCCTCTCTCCACTGTTGAATGTCAGAGCTAACTTTGATTCTATTAAGAGTCTGTTTACAGGCTGCTGAGCTGAATTCACTTTGGGCCAATGGTGCACTAGCACTGGAGCTCCCCTACTAAGAGCTGAAATCACAAAAGAGCTAAAGTTATTAAGAGCTGAGATCACTGAGACTGTGTTAACTAGTGGGGGAGCCTAAAGCTATATTGCTAAGTGGCTGGTGGAGCCGCTAGCAGAGTGGAGCCTCACTGGACGGTTGGAGCTGAGCGACTCACAGGTCGGTGAGCAGGGTGGAGTGGCTGGAGAAGCAGCGAGCAGAGTGGAGCCTTGTGGGAGCGGCCCAAGGAACGGCTGAAGTGGAGCAGAGCTGAGCGGCTCACAGGTTGGTGAGCAGAGCGGAGCAGCTGCCAGAGCAGTTCGTGGACGGCGGGAGCGGCTCACGGGACAGCTGGTGGAGTGGAGTGGCTCGTGGAGAAGGCTGCGGCGGAACCCCACGGAGAGGCAGCCGGTCGGCCTCGGATCACGTAAGGTGCCCCTTAACACCCTGCGTGCCTCCCCCCCACCCCGGCTTGAACTCTGGGGCTGCACTGACCAGGGACAGAGACTTTGGGGGGTTGTTGGACTTTTGGGACTTTGGCGATCCTTGGGTTGCTGGTTTCAAGAACCAAAGGGAAAGGACACAGCCCAATTTGCTGGGGTGGGTTTTTTTGCTCATGAAGCCTGTTTGTGGTGTTTTTCCAATTTAATGCTGATGTTGTTTACCTCATTTTATTAAACATTTTCTGTTACACTCAGACTCCGTGCTTGCAAGAGGGGAAGTATTGCCTCTTAGAGGCGCCCAGGGGGTGGTATGTAATTGTCCCAGGTCACTGGGTGGGGGCTCGAGCCGGTTTTGCATCGTGTTATTGAAACGGAACCCCTAGATACAGAACCCGGCCCTTGTTGCTGCCAACTTAGATGGGCAGAAGGGTTACAAATGTAAACGTAGCTCCTGGTGGGGCACGATCTCCTCTGGTCCCAACGTGCTTGGGATGGGCTGTGTTTGCCAGGGACACCAGGGACGGCCTGGGCCAAGGTGGGGTCATGTCTCTGTGATGGGTTTCCCAGGGTGCAGCTTGGAACTGGGGTACCCCTGAGCCCTCTGGCTTACCAACCTGGGCTCCCTCTGACAGTGTGGTAATGTGACAAGCTGGAAACCGCTCAAGGTCCTGCACTTGCACAAACCTCCACAGGCAGGGACACACCCAGCTGCAGTTACATGAATGCTTTCACCAGCCACTCATGAACCAGGAATAGAGAGACTCCAGCCAGTTCCCCACAGCTCCCCAGCCTGGGACCCCAGAGCTGTACCGTCTTGCCCTGGTCAGAAGCCTGACGGGTGTAAGTATATTACCCAGTCTGTCCCTCCCTCAATGTGGAGAGGACAATGCACCAGCCCCTGTTCCTGATCAGAATTCCCTTTGCACTTCAAACAACACACTGTTTTAGGTAAAAAATACAAAACCGGTTTATTAACTACAGAAAGGGAGATATTAACTGATTATAAGTAATAAGTGTACAGATCAAAGTAAATTACCTGAGAAAAAACAAAATTGCAATTTGAGTTCTATAAAGTAGACAGGATCTGAATCAAGCAGCACCTCACCCGGCTGGTACAAACAGTTCACCAATCTTCCATACACCGGCTGGGATTCCCTCTTTCCCACCCGGGACCACCTCCCCAGTCCAAGTCTTTATCCTCTAGGCATGTTTTCAGGTGTTCAGTTGGGTGGTGAGTGAGGCCAAATGATGATGTCACTTTCCCCTTCTATAGCTTCTTCCAGCTTGCTGGAAAGATCATTGCTAATGATGTGGGGGTCCGTGCCCCCTCCCCCGATCAGGAACCCTCCATTGCCTACGTGCTCCCTCTGGGAAGCCTCCATTATACACTGTTCATGAGATAGTCATTAGTGTAACCCTTCTGCCCATCTAAGTTGGTAGCAACAAGGGCCAGGTTCTGTATCTAGGGGTTCCGTTTCAATAACGCAATGCAAAACC